ACAGTTCAACAAAGGCTGTTCACCAGCGCTCAGAATTTTTCTTAAAGAAAGAAAATGTCTGAGCTTCAGCACAATGTGCGAGACCACTGACAGCTTCATGGAAGCACAGGCGCTCTCGAACTTTAATAAGAACACGTTCGTAAAGAGAATGGGCCGTCTGAGCTTGCAAATTCAGAGGCAAGCGAGGAAAACCGAGAAACTCATGAATCGTTACTTTGCTTCTAATGCGACAAGACGGTACATTGAGCAGCTGATTTTTGGTCCCGCACCCAAAAAATTACGCCGGGCCGATGTGGTAAATACTATGAGAGTGGCCGCAGCAGCAAAAACTGCAGCTGCCAATTTTATGAAACCTAGGCGTCGTGTGTCTTGTCAGAGGAAGGAAAGAGCTCGACTTGTCAGCGGCACGAAGAGGGATACGTAACGCTGCAAGACGCCGAGACGATGCCAATCGTCACTGCGACATCAACTCGGCCTGTTACACCCGGTAACGCCGTGAACGTGCCTGTTGTGAAAGGGTTCCCGGAGAGGAGACAAGTTGACGTGCTTCCTGACACCAGCTGAAAAACCGTTGTCGTTCGACAGGCCTTAGAACGAAAAAAAATAATTTACTTGAACATTGAGTCCATAGTATTTACTTGATAGTACGATGAGGTACCTCCCAGAAGTCAAGGTGTTTTTGCGCAGTCCACATTTTGTGGGTGTGATTGAAAGATCCACATCGACGTTCAATTCACCTATAAAAATCGTTAAGAAGAAAAATGGCCCTATGAGGCTGTGCATCGACATTCGACAACTGTCGCCATCTTAAGGGCGTCGATGCTTCCAAGTCAGCCTCGACCAATTCATCGGGCTGCCCGGCGCCTGTGTTCGTCGCAATGGCATGAGTGAGTAGTCGTCGGCCATAGCATCGGGTCACGAGCATGTGGAGCTGTGCAGTCCGTGCGTGGACGCCATTGGTATGTCGTCAAAGGCGAAACATTATCAGCGTTGGAAGTGTTCAGTTTCTTTGCATTGTGTCAGTTGTCCATGTCTTTCAGCTGTGCTCCGTCTCACTTGATAAAGCAATTTTTCATGTTGACTGTCATACCTCGGTGCGTCTGGGTTCCTGGGATCCACGAACCATCACAATTGGCGAGTCTTTGCGAGGATTGGCTGTTCACATCTGCTAAGCAAACGCTCAGACGATGCGAGGATGACTGTTATTGTAGGGAAATTATATTTCTGGTTGAAAAGTTTGAATCCCTGTTTTGAGCTTTAGGCAACCGGTTGGCCTTAATGTATGCTACCTCCGTAATTATAACGGGGCAATTATGGTTTTAACTGTTATTGGTATGCACGTGAGTTCAGTCAGACAGTAGTTGGATATAGGTCATGTGGTTGAAAAAATTCACTAAACTAATTATTGCGAACACTTCACGATCACATTGAAGAAAGCAATGTTGGAAACAGGTACACAGTGTTCAGATAACTTCACCATCACCCCAAAGGTATAATTACGTTAGCCATATTGTTTATCTGATGTGTGTGCCTTTCATGTGTCAGGTGAACAAAAGCGCTAGCCCCAAATAATAAACACCGCTACCATTTTACACCTGGTTTCTGGATACTATGTGAAGGAAAACTGACCTTGCAGTGAACATTCTTCGTGTGCTACAATAGTTGTCTTACCAGAGATAGTTCTCGGAATCAGTCGTTGCAATCTTGCAGACATTAATTTCTCCAGCAATAGTCGCAAAGGACTCGTGATACATTTGCTGTGTGAACTCTGTACGTGACAAACGTGTAGACATCAGTTTCTGCCGTCTTTTTGCTGTCAGTGGATTCATGCACCCCGGAACACACACGGTAGTAAGTAAACATTTCAAAACAAATCATGGACCATCTCCCTCAAGGGAACCTTCATTGGATGCGAAGCAGTAGCAGTGCACATGACGTTGACCTGGTTGCCTGGTTGAAACGGGCGTTGACGCGGGGCTGAAAGAATGGTTTAGCTAGGAACGTCCTGGCGGGCGAGGTGGGTAACGGTAGCCATGCGTGACGCTCGTCTTCGGAAGCTTGCCCGACGTCAGTAACTCCTTGCAAGTGAAGCAGACCACGACGTTAGGCGGGTCCATGCCGAAGTCTTTTGGAATCACTTCGGTCACCCCCTCCAGCTGCATTCGGCTTCAGATGGAACCAACATTGGACAGGTGTTTCTCGAACTACAGACGGCCACGCGCGCGGCAACTGTGACCGAAGATACGTGAGAGCAACTCTCGTCGGAAGTGGGTGTTGGCGATTGCGTTGCCATGGTGGCGTCGCGGACGGCTCACGAACGCGATGCGACACGCGCGGCCGAGATCAGCTGCCGGAGCTTATGTGTGAGCGCTTCGGCACAGGGCGCTCGGCACTTTCGAGACGTTGCCGACGATGGTGACGCCGAGGATTCGCCGGCGTTGGCCTTCCACTGTCAGAGCTCCCACCTAGCTTCCTTGGCTCCCGTTTCGGTGGTGTTGCCGACACGTTGAAGGTGCTCGCGCTCGGCACTTTTGCCTCGCGTCTCGTCGGTGTTGCAACGCGTTGAAGACGCTTCCCTTCGGCTTCTTTCACTCGCATCTTGTCGTTGTTGCCAACGAGTTCAAGGCACTTGCGCTTGCCCCGCCGCGGTGGACTAGTGGCTAAGGTACTCGGCTGCTGACCCCCAGGTCGCGGGTTTGAATCCCGGCAGCGGTGGCTGCATTTCCGATGGAGGCAGAAATGTTGTAGGCCCGCCTGCTCGGATTTGGGTGCACGTTAAAGAACTACAGGTGGTCGAAATTTCCGGAGCCTTGCGTCTCTCATAATCAAATGGTGGTTTTGGGACGTTAAACTCCACATATCAATTAATCAAGGCACTTGCGCTTGGCTTGCTCGGCCAGCGTCTTGTCGGTGTTGCCGACAAGTTGAAGACACTTGCGCTCAGCTTCCTTGGCTCGTGTCTCGTCGGTGTTGCCGACGCGTTGAAGGCGCTTGCACTCGGCTTCTTTGCCTCACTTTTCGTCTGTGTTGCCGACGCCCTGAAGAAGCTTCCGCTTGGCTTCTTTGCCTCGCGTCTCATTGTTGTTTCCCACAAGAGGAATACATCTGTGCTCGGCTTCCTTTACTCGCGTCTCGTTGGTGTTGCCGATGATTTGAAGGTGCTTGCTCTCGGCTTTCTCGGCTCACGTCTTTCACAACACCATGCACTCCGAGGGAAGGCGTGGCCTACTTCTCACCACCTCAACACCCGCGGTGAAGGGAGTGCGATGCGTCGCGTTGGCAAGGATCAACGGACGCGCAGCGTCACAAAGGCTACTCAAAGTTGCTTCGAATCTAATAAACGTTGTGACCTTCACTGAATGTCATTGCCGTTATTTTCTCGCTTATTGCAATGAAGAGCACATTATCTTGGTAAGGCAGCCAAATTACTGTCCTCCGGCAGCTTTTCTCTTGTGTTTGTGTGTATGAGGTGTGTTAAAATATTACTTGGGTAATGAACATCAATATTTCGGTTTATGCGCGCAGATTTCAATCACCCTGGACATTGTTGTCATTACGCTATCTCAAACTATGAAGAAAGTTCTTTATTAGAAACAACCTATATATAACCTATGCAAAAGCGGTATTTTTGAACATGCAAGCCAATGTTAGGTGAAGGTTTCCACAAACTCCAAGCCTTCCCTTAATCTCAACCTCCAGTTTTCAACATTTTTCACTGTCATTGTCAACCGATTTGAAAATATCAGACCTTCAAGCTTTATTTTGAAATTGTCAACGATGTTTTATAAGCAACGGTCAATTAGTTATAAGTTTGTGTTTCGCAAACCGCAATAGGAGCAGGCGTACAGAAGTGTTGCCTTCCAAACTGAAGTAATGACCTGCGCTTTTTATGCATTAGTTTATATATATCATGCTCTGCAGAGCATATGTTTTAGCAATCAACCGTTTCTGCTACGGCAATCTCACAATTGATAGAGTTCGCTTGTTATACCATATTGCCAGTGTTTTGGCTGCCTGTATAAGAACGCACGCTGCAACCAAGCAGAGTAACTCTGCTTTCGCCCAGACGATTGAAGGGCAGAAGGAAGCAGTCAGAAATAGAAATTATTGCAAGAAAAAAACAATTATTGGGTCCGGCACGTACAAACCTAGGTTGCTAAATCTGCTTTCTCATCAGGAAACAGGTCCTAAAATATATTTTCTACTTGGTCAGACGTGACCAAATGCTACTCACTCAGGGGCAGGACACCTCTGCACCAACAGTAAATTGTAAGATTAGTGGCAGTATTTTAATGTAAAGGCTGAGAAAAGGTATCTTGCATGGGCATACTACAGGTCATTTAGTGCTAACCTCTCATTTTGTTGCTAGTTGCTACAACAGTCTACTTATCGTCATTTTCTTTAGGATTACATTGATTAGACTACGAATTGCTAGACTACATTCATTTTCAGAATTACCCCACCTGACGGTGGGCATTGTGAATGTTTTAATTGCACACGGGACTCATAACAGCTGATAGTTTACTCAAATTTCAATGATTTGTTCTACATTCAATTAGCGGGAGAGTGTGGCTTGTTAGTACCTCACTATTTACCAGCCATTCCATACACAAACACTAGTATTTTTTTACTTTCTTGCATGACAGGGTAAACTTCGTGACTGTGGCAGTTTTTCTGCAACGAACATTTTCCTCAAATGTATGTATACGAAAATTTCAGAAAGGTGGAAGCCCGTAGTGCCGCAATTTTTCCACAATGAATTACCTTTCCGACTGCATCAACATAAGCTTCACTTTTCCATGGCTCAATTTCTCACAGATTTTTTACTTAAGGGGACGTTCGACAGAAACAAGCTTTCGGTAGAAACAAAAGTTTTGCATAGTGTTCGTGCCGCAAGCGTAAATTAGTTATCCATTACTCTTTGATGGCATTAATGATTTATTATTACTACAATATCTATGAGGGCGGTAACTGCAATAGCAAAAGAGGGTCCTCCTTACTTGATATGTCCACTTGTACGAGAGGGCAAGCTGAAAATGAGAGACCCCATCCACAATATGAGTTCGTGTACCAGGCTCAATATGGCTTCGAATAGAAAAACAAACCCAACACAAGAAATATATCCCAAAGTAAACAGCACGCGAATTGCAAGAACCAGAAATCTCCGTGCTTTACGTCTATTAAAGATAACTGCCATACACAATTTGATTCATTTCACACCACAATAAGGAGAGCTGCTGCCCACCGAATTTGAAAGACAGGGTTTTGTACTCACTGATATTGCACAAATTTATTCGAACGTCTGCGGTGAATTAGGCTGATTGTTGTCACAGGGGGACCAAGGAGGATTAAGCGGGACATCAGCACTGGGCAGGCACCAATGTTTTATCACGTGGTAGATAGGAGGGTTGCAGTGTCTCTGATATATGCGTGTAGAAGTACGCCAATACGAGAGCTATGTTCTGAGGTGAAAAATGTCTTTTCAGTCTATGGCGTAAGTCTCCGGAAGCTTTCTGCTGCTCACATATTGTCAAACAGCAGGGGATGTAACTCCACCACCGACCAAATCACGACCTATTATGACGTCATCACTTAAAATCGCGATGACTTCAGATATTCTCGCAATGGTGACGCCTTGCTAACTTTAACTTGTGCCATTCTTCAAGTTGTGAAATCACGCTTCTTATTTCCGCAATAAGTAGATCTTTAATCATTGGTGTTATTACCGCTGTCGATGTACTTGTAAAGTATCATGAGGTGTTGCCAAAATTTCAAAAAGCATGTCAACTACTGATGCGTGTGAAGCTTTCACATAATAAACCTACAATAATAAACTAACGTGTGAAAGAGTTACCGTGGTACTCGAAAAGCCAACTGGCGTCACATGTCTTGACGTAACACTAATTTAAGGCGCCAACCTTCTTCTTTCTCTTTGGAGCCAATTTTCTTTATAAATGCCACCCCTCTCTTCTAAGAATAAACCGTTTTATACTTCACGTAGCCGTGCACTGCATCCGCAACCGGACCTCCTCTGCCCTAGCGACGTTGTTATGTGATGCCGTCTTCGCGCGGCCCCACGTCATTTGAACTCATAGTAACCTGAAGAATTACAAGAAAGAAAAAGTTTCTTCGATGTTCTGATTTTTTATACAAATTGGGAGTCTGTTTGTATACTTTCCCGCTAGACCCCCTTTTAGCCTATGGCTATGGGTCTAATCAGTGCTAAAGATTTACATAAACTGTGTTGATAACAACCTCAATAAATCTTGAATCTTGAAATATTGACGATCCACGATTTTCTGATGACTTCAATATGTGTTCCTTCGGGATTGAGTCCCATTACGCAACATCTTCGTTGACCCCGACACTGAAGGTAACTATGTCGTTCAGAGACATCTAGGGATATTGACCTAATAATGTCACGTGGTTTTGACGATGAAGAAGCGTACGCCACTCACTATGTACGTGGCCATGCAGACACACAGGAGTCTTTAGCTGGAGACAACTTGACAACTTTTTTAGTATTTGATTCTATTTTTAGGGGTGAAGTTTCTTATAGCGGCACCTTTTTTTCTTTATTGTCTTCTTGACTACAGGTCAAGCTAATATGACAATCACTATCACACGTGTTTAATGCGTGATAACGCGTCAAACAAAGATAATACATCTTGAACACAGTCGGTAGTCTTATACACTTTTCGCACTTTTATAACAGCGTCCACGAAACACTCATTAACGGATAGAACTCTCACATTACAGTGTATGTACAATAGCATACTATGCCAAACCGAATGAAGACCAATTAAATATATAACATCCAAATTTTGCACAGAACTATCACAAGGCAAAAAAACGAATTCCGTATGGAGTAAGAGGTAAATCTTTTTTTAAAGTCCTCTGTAAAATGTCCCAAAAGAAAATAGCATTCTTACAATCAATAAACACATGTTCAATGGTCTCAAGTTTGTTACACAGGAGACAGCTGCTTCCCCATGGTACATACATTCCTCTTTCTTCAAGCCACGGTTTTAGTGGCAAGGTTACCGTATGAAGTTTAAAAAAGAAGGTTTTCACATTGGGTGGTATACATGCGTTTTTCGTCGCTTTAATACGTCATGACCATATGATTTTTCATACTATGAACGGTACAGGGGCACAGGAAAAAGATTCTGTATTAAGTCTTTCATAAGGCGCTTTCTTTTCACATTAGTTGGATAATCTATCGAAAACCTCGTCCATAAGAAACGATATAAGAACACTACTTCGCGCACGAACGGTGACAAGGTGTGTCGTTCTCCCCTGTCTGAAGATACAAAGAAGTCAGGCATGTGGTGTAAGAGCGTTGTTTGAAAAAAAGACCATAAAAAGGAGTCTCTCTGGTCTATAATGAGCAGGAAACGTGATATTACTTGGTTAAGAAACGGAGGGTATAAAGACAGCCCTCTTTGCTTAACTCGCCGAAACAAGTTTATTCTAGATGTTCGCTCCCATATATAGCTCCAGATGAACGTGGCGAATATCCTGTGGATTTTATGAATGCTTTTGCGCCTACAACTAAGTACTTGCAAAAGGTACATAATTTTAGCCGTCAGAAACACGTTGCATACTGAAAGAAAATTGATAAGCCACGACCACTCCATCCTTCGGCAGTCGCACGCAGTTCTTCATCCTTTTTAAGCCAAAATGCTTCACTGTCTTGATACCTGTCCAATAGTACCCCTAGGTAACGACTAGGTGTCGTGAGCCACTGAATATTTCCAAAGGAACTGGGCGTGAGGTCCCAATTACCATGCCATAAACCAATGCTTTTTTTCTTTGTTCATTAAACTTCCACTCGTGTCACAAAACCTTTGAGTGATTTTTAATAACGAAGTGACACTCTCTCTATCAAAAGCAAAAAAGGCAATATCGTCGGCGTATGCCAAAACACGCACTTCACATGACTGCAACCTGAAACCATTAATCACTGTGTGGTGAATCAGTTTCTGACAAAGTGGCCCCAAAAATAGAGCGAAAAGCAGAGGACTTAAAGGACACCCCTGGCGCACGGAGGAAAGTACTTGTATGCACTGTGAGAGTTCTCCATTTACAATTAAACTTGTGGTTGAAGTTTTGTATGCCAATCTAATACCTTTACATATGATCGCACCAAGACCAACGTGCTCAGCTAACGTGAAGAGTATATTGTGTGGAACCATGTCGAAAGCCTTCGCTAGATCAATTTGTAACATAGCTACTTTTAGAAGCGCAGCGTCACAATACTCCAAAATGCTCCTGGCAACATGAATAATTGTGAATATGTTCCTACGCTCTATGCCGCAATTCTGATGTGACCCGACCAACTTGTATATAACTCCATGCAACCACCTAGCCAGAACTTTCGTAAACACCTTATAATCTACGTTTGTTAGCGTGATTGACCTGTATCCTGTCGCTTCGCGTAAAACATGTTGCTCTTTCCCTTTAGGAATCAGCACAGTGTGCGCCCGATTAAACGATGAAGGCAGCGTTCCGCGATCTAAAGACTCTGAAAAAACGTCATGCAATGCGGCGGCCATGTCCTCCTTCAACGCCTTGTAAAAGGCGGCATTATTGCGGTCTGGACCAGGTGATTTGCCCATGCCAAGATCATCGATAGCCTTCTCATATTCCCCTACACTAATAAACATTTCCAATAAATTTGTGTCCGTTCGTCTCACGTAGTCGTAGTGTGTAACAATTGTTATTTTTTGACCTCCAAGGTGGTGCCGCTGGGAGATTTCACCTGTGTGTTGTTAAACATTAAAAAATTGTGCTCAATGTACATTCCAATGGCTGCTAATGGGGAATAAGAGACAGGAGCATTCGACTTTTAGTTAACGCGCACGCTGCGATCCCCATTAGCAACCACTCGAACGTACATTGAACACTATCTGACAAGAAAGGGTTGCTACGTTATACTCGCTGGGTGTAACCTCCTTAGTTTTAAAAAGATTTGGCGAGCGTTGAGCTGCAGTGCCATGAATACAATAAACTAGTATACACAATGAACTCGAGGTGGATGAAGGTGGGAAGTAGATACGAAGCACAAGCCGTAAAAAAGTAAAACCCGAATTCTCCTGTCTCTCATTCTACATTAGCAGCCCTTGCCACGTATATCGAAAACTATCAGACAAGAAAGGGTTGCAACGTTATACTCGCTGGGTGTAACGTCCTTCGTTTTAGAAAGGTTTAGCGAGCTTTGGGCCGCAGTGACATGAACACAGTTAACTGGTATATACCATGAACTCGAGGTGGTTAAAGGTGAGAAGTAGACACGAAGCGCACGCCGTAAGAAGGTGTGCGTGTGCCACCTCTCGTTTAGTTCTTGGAATGTCCGCTGGATGACGGTGCTTCTATATGGCGAATATATGATGGAAAGATGCGAGATTGTGATACTTGGAGTGTTGAATAGATGGACGAACGGACGCACAGACAGATGCATGGATGGACGCATGAACGGACGCAGGGGCGGATGCATGGACGAGTGCAGGGGCAGACGCACGAACAGACGCACGCACGCACGGGTGGATGGACGCATGGACGGTCACACAAACGTACGCATAGACGGACGGAAGCAAGAACAAATGGACGGACGAATGCTTCGCCCCACTCTCCATCATTCAGTCCGTGGATAAGCTGCCAATTTTTTTTATTCATATACACTAAGGGCCCATGTGGGCACTACATAATAAGGGGTAGTGACAATACTGCGAGGTTACGTTACCAAAAATATTTACTGAACATAAAAACAAAAAAATGACCGCAAAAAGCACAAAAAATTTGTATAAAAAAATGGCTATTCAATGCAGCCCTCCGTCAGGCACAAAACTAGATATGCAATAACGCAGGTAATATAGGAGCTAAAGTAAACAAAAGGACGCTACAAAATGTAACAGTTCTACATTCCACATTTCCTTTATTTCGCTAACAAATATGCCATGATTGCGCACAGTTAAAACGTTGTTTGGCAGTTTACTCCACTGATAAACCACAAGAAATAATGGTGAGT